TTTTATAAGTAAAGCTTAGTAGATGTCACTTACATTTTTCTGTGCCTTATCTGTCAGTAGGAAATGTTTTATAAAATGAGAAACTTAATGTGAAAAATAATGTGTCTCAGTATGTAAGTACTTTCAGACTTGACGCACTAATTAAGCAAATGCATGTTTAATAAATCATTTTTAATCTCATTAAAAATTCAAAAATGTGTAAGTAACAAAGTACTAGTCAGGCCTCCGAGTCTCTTAGTTTAGGCTGTGTATATAAAGTTACTAACAGAAATTATTTTGTGGTTTATGCTTGACTTTATTCTTTTCCAAATATTTCACATGCTTAAATAAAAAAGGGTTTTGGTGACTTCATTGATGTAATCAAGGCTGTACCCCAGGACTTCTAAAGACAGCACTTACAAAAGAACCACAGCAGTGTTCCTTTTTCAAATGACTTGGCCTTTGAACATTTAAAACTTTTATTTTTTTCTCCAGTTTGATGCAGATTAGTCAGATGGTACAAAAGGAAAGGCATACTTTTTCTTCCTAAACATAATAAGCCTAAAATCAAGGTGTAGGCACAGATAATATGAATATGAAGACCTATTAAAGAATATTAATTCATAAGTATTCAATATTGAATGGAGTTTTGGTTATAATTTTTTCCATCCTCTGCTCATTAGATGTGCACGCTTCCTGTTGTGAATACTAGGAAGATTGTGAATATAAGAAAACTAGGGATGGACAAGGTGGCTTTTCTAACATCTGTGGAAATACCATGAATTTCTAATTATCATGAGAAATTACATCACATTTAAATTGATAGTTAATTATTTAGTGACTACTGTGCTTTAGCGTTGAGGTGGCTACCAAATACTTGTTGGTACAATCTTCTGTTTCTCAAGGAATCGAGTGTAATACATGAAACTCTGCAGTTATGCAGCTGCATTTGAAATAAACGAAGAACAATAAAAAAGTCTGCCATGATATCTTAAAAGTCCAAGTCCAAGCTGCACCAAAGGCATTGGTGAAAAACAAGGCTCCAGAGATTGACGGAATACCAGCAGAGATGTTTCAACAGACGGATGCAGGGCTGGAAGTGCTCACTGGTCTCTACCAAGAAATTTGGAAGACACTTACCTGGCCAACCGACTGGAAGAGATACATTTTTATGTCTATTCCCAAGAAAGGCGATCCAACCGAATGC